TGTCACACGCACTCCGATAAACAAGTTTTCCGGTCAGTGTGGTTGGTGAAGCCAAGCCCAGGGGGTCGTAGATTCGTGCCAATTTTGACAAGATGCTTCTCTTAGTTACAGGTTCAGCGTCTGTGGTGAGGGTCACGCTAATAGTATCGTGCTTCCTATCCCATGGCACACCAAGTAGTTTCCCATCGGGCTGTTCGATCCCTGCCAGTTGACTTTTGGCATATGTTAGTTCACTTATCTCTGATGACGATTGATTCTTTGGCTCGAGTTCAGGTACGTTTGAGTGCCACTTGTGTATTGTGAAAGTGGCATCGTTAAAAACTTCGATAGTTTTCTCCTTCTGGGTCTGGATTTCTGCGACTGTGGTACCCCCCGTAATCAAATCATCAACATACAGTCCTTCGCGTAATTGCTTCACTATCTCGGGGTAGCGCTCTTCCCAAGCATCCAGATGGTGTTTAAGGACTCCCCCGAGAAGGAATGGGGAGCAAGTCAGCCCAAACAGGGCTCGAGTAAACCGGTAGATTTGTATTGCATCGTTCCCAGTCTCTTTCCAGTGAAATCGCAATGAATCTCGATCTTCGGCCTTTATTCTGATTTGCAAAAAGGCCTGTTTCAAATCGCCTGTTAACAGAATGGGGTGAAATCTGGATCTAACAAGGACGTCCCATAACAGGTACTGGAGAGGGGGGCCTGGGTGGAGGCAATCATTGAGGGATGGTTGGGATCCGCTCTCTTTCGCAGACGCATCATACACCACTCTCAACTTAGTGGTCTCAGCTTGCTTCCTTTCTATGCCTTTGTGGGGAATATAAAATTCTTTTGCTGTTTTAGTGGTAGGTGCCAGCTCAATTACTCCCTGATTTAACTGTTGTTGTATAATGTCATTATACTGTTTGTACTGTCCGTTCCGTTCAAGTTTCTTAAGCAACTGCTCTAGGCGACGCTTGCTACTGTTCTCATAAGTTGGCAGTGGGGGATGATTCCCTTTCCATGTTAATGATGTCTCATACCAGCCCGCTTGATCTCTACTAAGCTGCTCTTCAAATTCCTCATACACAGTTTTCTGATCATTTTCATTTCTGTCCGGGAGTCCGAGGACATCTAATGCACATAACTGCTCATAATCTATAGTAGTGGATTGAGTTAACAGGATGGGACCCTCCTCCTTCCCTGGAGACATCACCGTCCAACCAAGGAGGGTTTTCTCTGCCACCGGCTGCCCCGGCTTCCCCACCTTTTGAGCCGTAGTGGTTTTAATTTTGGCATAATCACTAGCCCCAAGCACAAGGTGTACAGGTATTTGTGTACGGGTGTCAGGATCTTCGAATTTTGCACCGTTCAAATGTTTGTATCTCTCTAACAGGCGGGCATAATTTGGGTTGTTGAGTTTCATTAGCTCAGGTTTATCAACTTTTGACATTTCAATTTCAAGCTCAAATTTCTGATCTAGGGATTTTATGCTGGCTGCATAAATTTCTACTCTGGTGGTGGTGGATCCAAACATCATTTCAATTCGTTTTGTTTTGACAGCTTTAGGTTTTCTCTTCAATGCATTGGTTAGACTACTGGAAGCATAGGAGCTTCCTGCTCCAGTATCGAGCAGTGCATGTGTCTTAATCCCGTCTACTTCAACCATCACCACTGGATAAATAACTTCACTATCCCCCCCGGTATGAGCTGTTTTTGCTATCTCATGCTTGTCTGCTTTGGGTGCATCACAAATTGACGTATGATGACGTTTATTGCAAAATCGACACTTCGAGACACTCTTACACTCAGCTGCCCTATGAGAGGGCCCTGTGCAGTTAAAGCACAGATGTTTTGTAGCTAGAAACTTTTTCCTGTCCTCGAATGTCAAAATTGTGTCACACTCAGCAGATCTATGACTCTCAGAACTACAATATACACACTTTCGAGAACTTTTACTTATCTGATACAACTTCTGTTGCGTTGAGAACTGATAACCGCCTTGTCGTCGATCTTGTTTCTTCCTCCCATCATCTGGTTTCTGTGCTTCGACTGGATTCCTTCGAGTCCAATGTTGCAATGCTTCGGTTAGTTGAATATAGTCCCATTTCTCCCAGTCTGAGTCGTTCCGTACTAAATCACCCCGTATGTTTGGCAATTTGTCCAATGTCATGGCAACAGTTCCATTCACAGCTTCCAATTTTTTCAATGTCTCAAGCGACTGTACACAATATGATAACTTCTCATAAAATTCATGTATCCTTTTAGGATTTGATGACGGGGTATAAGGTAGCCTGCGAACAGGCCCTGGGTTGCGGGCGGCGCGAAGAATAGAGGGCCTGCACGGATGATAGGTTTTCTTGGTAGTGGCGTTCGTATAGAAACGCAGGCTTCTGATTGGCTTACACTCGTTGACAAAATTACTAAAAATAGCAAATGTCAACAACAGCATTTTGAAGAATTTGAACTTTATTCATTTTAATATTATATATTATAGGACTATCGAACAAATAAAACTAGAAATGGAAACCAAAAGCAATAGCAAAGCATCACAGCAAAAAAGTCTATCATAAATGACTTGAATCTATCGCTTAAATCCAATATACGAAACTATAACAGTATTCTGAACTTCGTCTTCGGATTGACATCAGACTATAGTATAGTACATTTTGAGGTCGTCGTGGCTTCACGGATTATTCTCATTAGTGAGCAAGTCAGCAAGTGAAGGCATACAAAAGATACCCAAATATGTACGAATAATTATATTGTCGATCCTCGCTGGCATGTCATTTAGATAAATATATATCGTACATTAAACGTTGTACTGTTTACTGTATATTAACTGCTGACAATTTCGTCGTCGATACGGCTTCCACTATTGGCACACTCGTGATTTCGAAGAAATTAATAAATACATGCTCATTTATCATTTATTTAGACCACAGTTAGTAAAATTTTAAACGTATTCGGTATTCCAAATCCCAATCTATCTGACCGTATTTTAGTAATAGCTTCAAAATATTCAGAACATTGTTCTTTCAGTCGCACATAGTACAAGTATTACTGTACATTCAAAGCCAATGGTAGTTTATTCGGCTTTATATTTGTATGTGTATTGATATCTATTTAATATTTGAAGAATTCTATATTTTTCCGAGTAATATATTGTGCGACCCGCTAATGCTTTGTATTATTATTGTTCATGTTGCACAATGTACACGCCTTGCGTCAATTTGACAGTTGACAGTTTATTTATCGCAGTCGACGCTGATTGGTTAGCGTTTAGCAGATGCGAAAAGGGGATGAATGAATAAAACGCATGGTTCCGTGCAGGCTCACCTTTCTCCCAGTGAGCCTGTTCGCAGGCTAGGTATAAGGAAGATCGAGTATTTCCTTCACATATGCTTTGACGACCTCACTATCTTTGCCAAATCTGTCTTTCAAAATGGCTAAGGCCCTATTATACCCTTCGGCAGTATATGGCAAAGCTTCAATTGCTTTCTTCGCTTTCTCGCATAATAATTCTCTAAGATAAGAAAATTTAGTAACAGGAAGCGTACTTGATTTATCGATTGTTTCAGAATATTGCCCCAAAATCGAGGCCAATCAGCATATGTTCCATCAAATTTTGTGATTGTAAGCTTGGGTAACCTGGCTTGGATGTTTCCACTTGCGCTTGAAGATATCTTACTTGACGTCGGTTCTTTTGATGATTCTTTGTTTATTTGCTGAGCTTGTAGTTTCATCTTGGCCTCATGAAGTTCCATTTCAAAGTCTAATTTCTTTTTCTGGTCGCTATATTCAAGTTTCTCTCGCGTTTCGTTCAACCACTGTTCTAAAATAGTAATTTTCTCGTCGCCCTCGTTTAATTTCTCCTCTATTTCACCGATCCATGTGTCAATCTCGTCGCTGTTTTCCTTAGCTGTAATTTTCTCTGCTTCGATCGTTCGTACTAGTTTATTGACTTCGTTTATTATCTCTCTCAATGTCTCGACATGTCTCTTGATAGCACTCTCTTTTGCAGCTTGTAATATCGTTTCTGTTTTGTCCCTAGCTCTTCCGAGTTGTACAAGTTTTGTCGCCAATTCAACACTTGATTTCGAGTCGTTTTCTTCTGCCATATTGCTATGTATTGTATTCGTTGTTTACATAAAAATCTCCATAAATCCCGGTCGGAGGTGCCAAGTGTCCTGAATTCTCGCCTCCCTGAGAAGTATCCAGGGCAAATCACGATAATAAATAATAATAACTTTATAATAACTTTATAATGATAATAAAATACAAATCTCTCTCACTGATTTCTTACTGTTTCTCTCTCGCTGGTTAGTCTCGCATGCATGTTAATCACGTGACCCATCACAAAATATGTCAATGTTCGTCTTGGCTTCGTAAAGCTCCGTAATGAGCCCAGTTCGCTACAAACGTTTATTCATTCCTTCACCGTCACGTGCATGCGTATTGTATTTTTGCCCAACTAACCAATAGCAATGTTTTAGGAAAGTTACCTATCCGTGACTCGAACAATAGGTAAATTGGAAATTGCTATTGGTGGATTTGTCAAAAATACAATACACACGTGACGATGAAGGACCGTATTTATGAATAAACGTTGACTAACATAGATAACGAGTTATATTGTTATTCTAATGAGTTTCCAAAGCATCTATTTTATTAACTATGGTATCACTATTAAAGACCACAAACTCTACTTCAAACTATCACAAGACCACAACTATACAGTGAGTACGGTATATACTATTTAAAACACGAGCGGGAATGCTTTATCAGATATAAAACCGTGCAGCTGATAAAGCATGGACTTTTAAATTGCATGATCGTCAACCTGAATGATTTCGCCCGCGCGTCTCCCCTCGACCCGATTTTCACCTTCTAGTGTAAGGCGGAAAAAATAAAGCCCTGACATTCAGGTTACTTAAACGTAAAAGCCCGGTAAAGAATAACAGTTGACTAGATACTTCTTACTATTCCAAAATAGAAAATACTGTAGCATCCTCGTCATCATTTGACGATTATACAACAACAATCAACCAGATCACAGTTAAGGACAAACAATTACTGGTAACGATAATATAGCAAACGAGTTTAACAATTATTTTTGTGAAATTGGCCCTAAGCCTGCACAAACTATACCACCAAAGTAATGTAGATCCACTTCAATATATCACTGCTACTGTAATTTTAATAAGTTTGCATTTAGACAAATTCCGCCAATAGAATTATGCAGAATACTAGACGGTATAAAATTAAGGAAAGCTGCAGGAATCGACAGAATCACAAACAAACTGTTAAAGACTGCTGGCTATACCATATGTGAAACCTTACTTTGTATTTTTAACCTGATCGATCTTAGACATTGGTATACTTCCAGATGACTTAAAACAGGTCAAGGTTACGTCTATCTATAAGGAAGGTGACAAAAATGAATGCGGAAACTACAGACCTATATATGTCATACCGGCAATTTCAAAAATATTAGAGAAACTAGTTTGTGACCAACTTCTCAATTTTCTGAATGACAACGAAATAATCACAAAACTGGCGCATCTGGTTTCCGTAAATATCACTCTACTGAAATTGCTCTCTTGATCAACCAATGAATATTTAATGAATATCACGGACA